GATAAAATGGCCTGGAATGTCTCCAACCAACCTTCCTTCCCTCCTTACTCCTGTGTTGGTATAGGTGCAGTTGACTGAGAGAACGACAGACATGAACAAAGCTGACTGATTTGCCTTTTTTGTTGTCTGTGCATCCCAAAAGGTTTTAGTAGAAACTTACTTTTCTCAAAAAGGCAAGGATATCTTAGGGTGATGTCTTATATTGGACCAACTACATAGCTGGAATAGAGTTGGACAAGCTTTCAAATGCAAAACGCTCTTTTATCAGGTTGAAGCAGTGAAAGCCCCTGGTCCTGCCCCCTGGCTTTCACTGCTTCAACCTGATGAAGAGCGTTTTGCATTTGAAAGCTTGTCCAACTCTATTCCAGCTATGTAGTTGGTCCAATATAAGACATCACCCTAAGATATCCTTGCCTTTTTGAGAAAAGTAAGTTTCTACTAAAACCTTTTGGGATGCACAGACAACAAAAAAGGCAAATCAGTCAGCTTTGTTCATGTCTGTCGTTCTCTCAGTCAACTGCACCTATACCAACACAGGAGTAAGGAGGGAAGGAAGGTTGGTTGGAGACATTCCAGGCCATTTTATCAACAGTCATAAAGGCTCGTTTGCATGAGAAGCAAGTGCAGAACAAGTCGAGCAACTTTCCTTAGTGAAGGTGCTTCTCTGACCTTAACACTGAAGAAGTCAAACCAGTCGTCTGCTCTCTGATGTCATATAGCCTTTGCTATCTTAACCTAACTTCAATACCTGAAGAGTTATTAGAGTGATTTATAATAACACAACTGGTAAATACTTGAGGAGGAAGGGGTGATTGTTATCAATCAACATGGGTTTAAGAACAAGTCTTGTCAAAAGCAACTTGATTTCATTTTTTTGGCAGATTAACTAGTTTGGTGAAAAAGGCAAATACAATCAACATAACATACCTGAACATTGGTAAGTAGTTTCTGACATGGTCCCACATACTATTCTCATAAGTTAACTGGAGAAACATGAGGCAGACATAACTTCTAAGTGGATACATAATAGACTGAATCACTGCAAGCAAAGAATAGCTACTGGCGGATTGATTTCAGACAGACGGGGGATCTCAGGTGAGGTTCTACAGGTGTCCATTCTGTTTCCAGCACTGTTTAACAATTTATTAATGACTTAGAGGCAGGATTAAAGAGCATACTGATTGAATTTGTACACAATCAGAGGAGTTGAGGATCAGATAAAAATCCAGAGGAATTTTGAAGAATTGGGCTATAGATTTTTTTAAATTAATTAAACAAGGACAAATATAAAGGCGCTGCACATCAGGAAGAAAACCTAAATGCAGAATGGAAGATGGCAGGTTTGACAACTGCACAGCCCAGGAGGACCTGGGGGTCCTGGTTGAGGCTGAAATCCAGTGAATCAGCCCCCTCCCACCCTGCCAAAAAAAAAAAAAAAGCAATTTTGAGCTGCATTAACAGAAGCATTGTAAATAAAAGACACAGGTGGCAAAAGTAGTATTCTGCTCAGTACTCTTTAGGCCTCAGCTTGATTACTGTGTCCAGATTTGAGCACTGCATTATAAGCAGTAAAGAAGCTGGAAAGAGTCCAGAGGCAAGCAATGAAGATGATAAAGGAACTGAAAGCAAACCATGTGAGGAAAGGTTGAAGGAACTATATATGTCTCATTTGCAGAAAAGGGGATTAAGTGGATGAGGAGGGAAGTGACAGCAGTTTTTAAATATTTGAAAAGCTGCCACGAAGAAGACTGAGAAACATTGTTCTCCCTTGCCACAGAGAGCAGGACACAGGGCAATAGGCTTAAACTGAAGCAAAGCAGATTCAGAGAAAACCTGGGGAAAACTCCCTAACTGTAAGAAGAGTAGGACAGTGCAACAACTTCAAGGAAGTCATGAAGTCTCCTTTACTGGAGATTTTCAAGAGCCTAGACAGACAATATCTGGAATGGTGTAGGAATAGTGAATCCTGTATTTCTATAGGGGATTAGATTAGTTGATACTGGAGGCCCAGTCCAACCCTATGAGTCTACGATGTCACACTGGGCATTTAAACAGCAGAGAAAAAGAAAGAAAGAAAATGTAATTCAGTTAAGTTACAAACATATTCAGCACAGGACAACCAAAAGGGTCTGTCACCACTAAAGCACTTTTCTCATCTATACCTGGAAATAAATTTGAGATTTTTGACTCAGTAGTCCCCGACTGCCAAAAGTTTTCTAAACCCAACCAGCAAAACATGAAACTCATCCACATGAATAACCTAATCACACAGAAAACAACACCTTAGTACTAGTCACTCTGTCACTACAATTTCTTATTGTTAGCTCAAGTGTGTTGGCATTAAAAGTTTGGCATTACCAAAAGCTCATGAGGGAGTCAATATGGCCCCACAGGATAGAAATTTTGTACATTTTCCAACCTCATTTGCCTTTTATTTTTTTAAAAAAGCATAGTAAATTAGATAAACGATACATAAAAAAAGGTTTTCAAAGTTCTGAAGTCAGACATTAAAACAATAATGTCTGAAGTTGCAGGATTACATACTCCTTTTTATTTTACCAAAATCCTATTTCGTTCAGTACACTGGGCAGGTGGATCGTACACAGGGAACAAACCAGGATTGTACAGGAAAAAGGCAGCTATCACTCAAAATCCTGCGTGCTATTTGTTGTGGAAATTTAAAAGTATGCAGCAAATCAAGCAGGTGACTGCAAAATGAAAGAAAGTTGGTTCATCCAGGTGACTGCCACCCTAAGGACCAGAATTCTTGTCTGGCTTCAATTTCAGAACTTATGTGATGCCAGCATAGTTTCTGAAGGCAGAGTTCAAAAAGGAGCTGCTGCTGGGACTGCTATACACTTTGTATGAAGGACTCTTTCGATAAAATGCATCAACAGCATGGGAAGCACAGAGAAGCACACAGAGTACTCCACTTACACCTATACCAGACAAATGCACAGGTCACTAACCACTAACCTACATAAAGGCCTCAGTTCCACCCTCATCCGCTGCTTACAGTGTTACAAACTTCTACATATCACTCAAGTACAAAGCATATTTCAGCCCCTCTACTTTGCAACTTAACTGTACTGCAGTTAGCAGTTTACTAGGTGGAACTGTCCTCCAATGAAGCCACCTTGTTTAACACCCCATTGCGCTCCATTTAACTGCACCAGAAATGGAGATGTGCTTTGACGTATAAGCTGCCCTTCCCAACAAAGGTTTAGTGTGGATTACAGTAAGGAAACAGAATAACTTATAAAACTAGAGAATGAACACAAAAACAAAACAAAAAGCATTTGAGTATCAAGATAAAATAGAAACCCCCTAAATATCCCAACCTAGCTTGCTTTGCTAAATGCCTGCCCAAACAAGGTAGTCTTACAGCACTTCCAAAAGATGTCTAAGTTCAGGCTCTGACAGACCTGAAGAACTGAGGAGCAACTGCTAGGAAAAACTTCCCACACATTTTCACCAAGCAAACTCAGGGATGAATAAGCAGTCATGGAAGGCCTGCAAGTGATGGGAGCGTACCTTGGGGGCTGTGAAATAGTGTCTAAGAGCAGCCCTAAAACTGAGTAGTTCCGGCCACTTTCACGGCATCTAGCCAGTTTGGGGGCTGCCACTACCACAGCATTCACATTACTGCATATTTAGTGAGCACTGTTTAGGTTGATTTCTGATAAGCATGTACTCTGGGTAAGTGCAGAGTCCTTTTTTCAGCATGAAGGAAGTGCATGTATACCAAAATACACTATCCTCACCACTGAGCTAAAGGGTCATGCTCTTTGCTCTATTCTTGCATTCCTGGCTGCCTGGTGACACAGCTGGAGGGGGTAAATGGTGACCCTGCCTACCCTATTGTAACACCTGGTGGTTCAGACACTCTCCTGGGAGGAGGGAGATCTAAATTTAAAAAAATCACAGCAGGAAGAAGGAAGTATGGCACCCAGATCTCCCTTTCTTGGGTGGCTGTTCTAGCCCTTTACCTGTTATGCCATCTCCCAGTGCTTTTCAGGGAAAGCAATCATGAGGGTTGAACTGGATGCCTCTGGCTGTGCATGCCCTTAGGGGCATACTTTAGGGATTCGGCCCCTCCAGGAGCTCAGGAGCAAACACCTAGTATGTAAATCCCAAATGGCCTTACAGATTTAAGTGCTTAAACATTTGATTGAGCCAAGGTGGCGATGCCTCTGGGCCTATGCAGCAACTGATCTTCAGACAGATTTTGCTAGGACATTTGCTTGGGCTTAGGTGCTGAAATTCTGCCTACAGAGCTCCAAAAGCCATCTTTGGCCTCTGGCCCTTAAAAAAAAAAACCCAACAAGTGTTCCCTTGGCGGCTACCACATGTTTTTACTTGCTGGATGCCAGGGCCAGATTTACCAGAGGACTGAGCACCCACAACTGCAACCGAGGTAAACAAGCTGTTTGTAGAACATAACACACAATAAGAAGGTTAAGCATCCTGCAAAAATCAGGCCTAATAGATGAGAGACTGGAGTACCCCATATTAATGGGGGTACATGACTATTTTGGCTGTGCACTCAATGCCTTGCTTCCCTCCATTTGTAAACCTGGGCAGACAGCACCTTACTGGAGGGGGACAAAGATCCGTTTATGAGATGTTTGTGAAACAGCAAAATGTTGCAGCGATGAGCATCAGAGAGAAGCCCCTGAGAAAACTCATTCTGTATCAAGCACAATTTGAATGCTGCGTAGCTACTGAGGCTGGAAGAGGAGGACCACAAGAAACGCTCGCAGGCTGAGCCATGCCAGGAGCACTTTCAGGTGCACTGGATTGATCCGAGAACCCTAAACAAGCTGGGCTGGAAGTGACCTCCAGGGGGCACCCAGTCCAAGGCAGGACCATCCCTACCCAAGCCACCCCCCAAACTCTGCTGCCAACCCACATACAGCCCCATCCCAAGGGGCTGGGCTCCAGGGGAACCAGCAACCTCCAACCCTTTGCCCAGCCCCTGCCTTGCCCACCGCGGCACCCTCCCAGGGGCTGCCCCAACGTGTCT